TTGACTTTCCCCAGACTTTAGGATTCGAAAAATCCAAACTTAATGCATCGGATCTAGTGGAAGACTTTCTCTCTTTGTGGACTCTAGGGGAAGATTCTTCTTTGTCTCTTTTCAAGCTTCTGTTGGATTACATCTCTAAGCACAAGGGTTAGACACTACAATGCATATTTGGGGAGAATAAAACTTAATTCTGAGCAAAAAATCATGTTGACGTGAATGAGGGGGAGGGCAGAGTGGAGACCCAAAGCCCATCTGTAGTCAATTGGACATCCCCTGTCAGAAGGGCCACAAGGAAGAGCCAGGGTTCAGGATGGCACTGGCGAAACACACAACTTTCCTTTAGTTCCTTAATGCTTCCTTCTCCCACCCCCCCCACTATCATGACCCCAATTCTACCTTACAAATCTGTCTAGACCAGAATGTGTACACTAGTACAGATGAGAGTTCTCAACACAGGGAATCCAGGACAGATAACCAATACTCAGGACCAAGAGTAGGGATCGTAGGGGGGTAAGGGAAGTGGGGCAGGGTAAGGGGAAACTGATCACAATGATCAACATATAAGCCCCTCCCAGGAGGATGGACAATAGAAAAGTGGGTGAAGGGAGACAGTGGTCAGTGTAGCACATTAAAAAAATAATAATTTATAAATTATAAAGGGTTTATGAGGGAGGGAAAAAAATGAGGAGCTGCTACCAAGGGCTCAAGTAGAAAGAAAATGTTTTGAAAATGATGATGGCAACATATTTACAGATGTGCTTGACACAATGTATGTATGTATGTATTGTGATAAGGGCTGTAAGAGCCCCCAATAAAATGATAAAAAATTCAATTCTGAGCAATCTCCTAGTTCTCAATTTTTACTTATAAAAATTATCAGGGGTTGGATTTGAAGATTCATGGATTTTGAAAATGGATTCACAGAACATGGCCTGTGGTTAGTCCGGATTTGTGTTAGCAAATTATAATAAAGAACCAGTATCTGATAATTTTAAATTAAAATACTACAGATGAAGATATTTTGGGCAACAGACTAGATAGATTATTTGATGTTTTATTTTCCCAATGTGTCCACATGACCTCTAAATCATAGACATATATACAATGTGTACATAAACCTGAGGAATAATTTTTAAACTATTTCAGAATATCTAATATCTTAGTGTCAAACACAATATCTAATAATATCTTTTAAAATCTATGACTTTATACAATTTGTGGCTATAATGGATGGAGGGCTATTTTGAGTAATTTAGTGTTTCAGAAATGTTCCCATTAAGAACTTATATAAAATAAAATGCTAATTCTCTTTGAGAATATAATGCTTTTTCAAAGTATAGAGGCACTTTCCATTATTCTAATACACAGGAGACCTAGGTAATGACATTAGTTAGGTAATTTTACCTCAACAGAAGTAATATAACCCTGGATGTTGATGATAAGAAAAGCTCAAGTGGTACTTCATTCCATTAGCATGAAATATTGCTGCTCATTTTAAACATCTTGTGTCAATTTTAATGGCTCCAGTGATACCACTTTTAATCATTTTGAGGGAGAATTTTGGAATATTTAATTGATATTGTTCTCATCTTACCTAAAGTAATAACTAGAAACTATGTGACAGCAGACATGATATCATCTTTAGAGACCTGTTTGGTGACTAGCTTCATGCTTTTTGTTTTCTCCTCAAAATGTCAGCCTTTGGTTTCATATTATCAAATAACAGGAATATAATACCACTGGGGGTGTTATATATGAACAAACTGATGGTACAGTGGTTAAGGTCTTTGGTGTTAATCTTAATGGTTTCAAATCAACAGTAACTCTGAGGGAGAAAGGCATGGTCCTCTCTTTCCATGAGGTCTAGAGCCTAGATAATTCAGCAGGGTCTTCTACTACGCTCTACAGGGTGGCTAAGGATTGGAATTGGCTTAATGGCATGGGTGGAAGGTACTTCAATGGGTAGTTCCAGGGTGGTGCAAGCAGTAATGCCTCGGGTGCTGACGGAAAGGTTGGAGGTTTGGTTCTACCCAGAGATACCTAGGAAGAAAGGCCTGGAGACCCACTTCTTTAGAAAGCAGCCATGGAAAACCCGCGGGAGCACATTTCTCCTCTGGCACACATATGAGCTGAAACTGACTTTATGGCAATGGTTTATTTGACTAGGAAGTCCTTGCGGGATGCAATTATACTGCCCTCATCAGTGTTGAAGAGAGAGACCACCTTGATCATGTGTTCAACATTCTAACAGTTACCTCTGATACAATTGCAAACATATTTTAAAAATTGTAACTTAGGTGAGGGGGGGGGGGCGTTACAATATAGATGGTTAACTTTGTATTCCCTGGTCTAAACTACTAATTAACTCTTCCAGCAGCTTTCCCCTCCCTCGATCCTTGATTTTCTTCTCGCTTCTCTTTCTTCAATCGAGTCAACGCTCATCACAGGTTGAGCCCATTGCTTTACATTTCCTCCCTTGCCCTCCCCTCTTATACAATCTCTCCCAAGTCTGTTCCTTTTGGTATGAACATCTGTATCTTCTTTGTCCATATAAGAGTCTCACAGATTTGTCTTTCTGTGGGTGTCAGATTTCCCTCAGGATAATGTTCTCCAGGCCCATTCATGCCATGGAGTGCATTTGTCAGTGCATTGCATTCTATTGTGTGTAGGTACCAACGTTTCTTTATCCATGTTCCCATCTTCTTGCTATTGTGAACAGTACTCCACTGAACATGGGTTTGCCTAGGTCTATTCATGGTAACAATTCTTACTTCCTTAGGGTATAGTGCTTGTTATCTAACAATTGTTATCACAGTGATTGTTAGAGTATATGCAGTTTTTATTCCTTGTTTGAGGTAGGGCCAAATCATTTTCCAAAATGTACATATTTACAGTCCCACCGGCAATGTATAAAGATTTCAATCTTTTTACAGCCTCTCCAGAAGAAGAATTTGCTATTTTCTTTTTTTTAAATCAATTTATTGAGGCTCATACAATTCATCACAATACATAGATCAATTGTGTAAAGCACATCTATACATTTGTTGCCCTCATTATTCCCAAAATTT